CGCGTGTCAGTGAGCCACCCGCCGATGACGAGATGGTTCCAGTCGACGTGGCTGGACGATGGCTGGCTTAGTGCTCGGGAAGGCAATGGTGGGGTAGATGCTGCTCTGTGGCCTCTGGGTGGTTCAGCTGGGACAGCTTCGTGATGTGTGCGCGGGGGTGCCGACGGGGCACGGGCACGTGAGAGCTGATGCATCTGGCTGAGTCAGTTCCTTCACTTCATGCTGCAGTTGAGATACATAGGAAGGCACATCTTGTGGAGCTTGTTGGCTTTGTTTGGTTTCAATCACTTGCAATCGTGCCTCGATGGAGGCGATCTGTGCTCTCTGAGCGTTCACTGTCTCAAGGACTGTTTGTTGGCTTGCTTGCGTTTGATCCATCTTTCCCACCAGTGTGTTTTCTGTCTTCCTTCGCATCCCAGCTAGGAGTTGCACCACGGCGGGGTCCAGGGTTCCCAGGTTCGCCAAAGATTGTCCCGGGCCATTAGTAGGTGAAGGTGCAGTTGAAGAAGGTGCCTCAAGGTCCTCCTCCATACAATCATCATTAACCTCTTCAATTCCTCCATCTGCCTTAAAGTTGACCTTTCTGGTTTTCCTCAGTGGGGGTGATAAGGCGGGTGCGGCGGGGAGGTCATCATTGTCGAGGTCAATGCCATTGGGGGGAGGAAAACATGTTTGTGTAAATTCGGCGTGTCGCTGGGGAGCGGGATGAATGGCGGTGTCCACGAGTCTTATCTTACTACATCCGTAGCAATGACTCTAGAAACGTGGGAGCTGCGCATATACCCAATGTATTCATACACATGTCTTACGCACACCCTCTTCTACATATCCGTTGCTTCCACGCTCCCGGGCCATCCATCATCTAGTGTGATTTTTCGTAGGCTTGGTCGAACCAAGGCTCAGAGAGGATGTCACCCCACCTGAGAGTCGGAGTCTTTTACATCTTTCACCCCGCCAGCCGTTGGGGGTGATATGTTAACAACTGGTTTGCTCATGTTTGCTCAATCCATCTCTTTCGGGACGTCCTCCCCATCACGATCTCGATCCATACGATCACGAAAGCCGCCTCCATTGCGGTCACCTTTGCCTCCAAACATTGGTGCTGCTGATACAAGTTTTGGAGTCATCCCCCCTGCTACTGTACAGTAATTTTATTCTATTACAAAAATTGAAGGACCGGATAACCCCACATATGGTGCAGACATGTGTGTACAGCCACAACTAGCCGAAGTAAAACCCCATCGCTCTGCCGACGTCAAACCCTATAGCCAATCCACACATGGAGGTTCACAAAGCGCTGTGCCTGCCACGAAATCTGCACATGGAGGTTCACAAAGAGCTGTGCCTGCCACGAAATCTGCACATGGAGGTTCACAAAGTGCTGTGCCTGCCACGAAATCTGCGCACGGAGGTTCACAAAGTGCTGCGCCTGACACGAAATCTGCATATGGAGGTTCACAAAGTAATGCGCCTGCCACGAAATCTGCATATGGAGGTTCACAAAGTGCTGTGCCTGCCACGAAATCTGCACGTCAAGAAACAAGTGAAAACTCTAATCACAATGGAGGAACGGACCGGCGACCACCGCCGACCACGCAACAGCCAGAGAGCATGGAAGTTCACCCTGCCACGAATTCTGCACATGGAAATTCACAAAGCGCTGTGCCTGCCACGAAATCTGCACATGGAGGTTCACAAAGTGCTGTGCCAGCCACGAAATCTGCACATGGAGCTTCACAAAGTGCTGCGCCTGCCGCGAAATCTGCACGTCAAGAAACAAGTGAAAACTCTCATCACAATGGACGAACGGACCGGCGACCACCGCCGACCACCGCCGACCACGCAACAGCCAAAGCCTCTAACGGAGCATGGAGGTTCACACAGCGCTGTACCTGCCACG